ACACACACACACACACACACACACACACACACACACACAGACCAGGTTTGGTGGGCTGATAGAGCCTAGTGAAACCCCTGAGACTATGGCCCCTAGCTGCCCTTCAGCTCTGGAACTGAACTCACTTCTGTGGCTTCCAGCCAAATAAAAGACCAGCACATGGGCTGAACATTTACATCAGGCAGATACACTCCTTGGAGAGATCAATCATGGGAGAATACAAGGGCAGTGTATGCACAGGGAGACTGCTGGGGGTGGGGGTGGGGAGGCAGGAGTGCATGTGAGGGAAGGACAGGGAAAAAGTAACTGGGGAGGAAGTGGGAAGAGAGTTGTTACACTGTGAGAAATTGCAGTCAACATTATGAGACAAAATATATATGAACTGCTGTATAGAAAATAAATTTGCTCTGTTAACTTTCACACAAATCACAATAAAAAATGTGGCTAAAAATTCTGGAAATGAGAGGAACAAAGTAACTAAGGGGAATGCAGAGTCAAGGAAAGAGTTTTTTAGAGTGGAATACTTCAGCATATTTAAATGCAGAGAGAAAACCTAGTAGAGAAGAAGGTTGAAAATACAGGTGATGAGGTGGGGGCCATGTGATCAGGTATGGACGTCTTAAAAAGACCAATGGGCACAAAGGTCAGGAAATGAGTAAGCAATCAGACTTGAATAGGAGAGTCAACAGTGTATCTGAAACAAGGAGAAAAGGAGGGGGGGGGTGGGATGAGGGGTAGAAGGAAGTGGAGCATTCTTCCTGACAATCTCTTTTTTCTTAGTAAAAGCAGGACTCAGATAACTAGGGGTTTGTAAAGAAACAGGGAAGCAGGAAAGGTACTAGGTTTGATTGGTGAGGAAGATAGATAATTTTGATTGAAAAAAATCAGAATTTTTGTCTTTCAGATGGCTGGATGTATGGAACTGGTAATAAGGTTAAAGGTCAAAGACTAGAAAAATCAATTTGAAAATCCAGAGCTGTTTGCTGTGAGAGAAGAAAGGCTCTCTGACTGACAGAAGGAAGACCCATGGGTGAGGCAGCAGCACTGAAGGAAAAGGAGGGAGAAGAGAGGGCAGTAAATAGGGTCCAATGACACAGAACCAGGATTCAGGGGAGAAAAGGGGGTGGACAGTGTGAACAAGGCCATTGTTGTTGTTGTTGTTATGTGCTGTCGAGTCGGACCCGACTCATAGTGATCCCTCCTTGGGTTTCCGAGGCAGTATCACTATGGAAGTAGGATTGCCCAACCTTCCTTCCGAGGAGTGGCTGGTGGGTTTGACCCGCCAGCCTTCTGGTTAGCAGTCAAGTGCCTTAGCCACTATGCTACCAGAGCTCCTTCCATTAGTACATTCAAAATAACAATTTCTCTTCAGGTGAGAGAAATGAAAGTGGTAAATTTCCAAATATAGTTACTACCCATTGGAATCACATATTGGATCTGCTCTAAGGCAGGTAATGTTCTCTTCAGTTCCCATCTTACTCAGTGAAATTGAAGCTCCTCAACCAGGGCTGGGAGGCTGATGTGACCTTGCTCCAGCCATCTCTCTGATTGCTTCTACCCTTGTTCACTTCGCCCTCCCACTGCTGTCCAAGTACACTGCTGCCTCAGGGTCTTTCCATTTGTCAGGACCTCTCCTCCTCTACACTTCATTCCTGATTCTGGTCACATATCACATTATCAGAAAGGCCTTCCCTGGGTCTGATTACTGCCTGTGGTGCAATGAATTACTTAATATGGCTCTTCTAGTTATGGTCTTTTTGACTTCCACCTGATGACTGGGTGAGATTATGCATATGTGAGGTGCTTCTGTCCCACCAATGGGACTGGATAGCTTGCTAGTAATGTAAATAAAGTATATGGCATCCTTGTGGGGATGGGACCATGCAAATAATGTGTATAGAACTCTAACATGGGGATTGGTCAGTTTTGCCATTCAGCTATAATTGCCTCACCAATCAATGAGCCATCCCAGAGGCAGAAAGGCGAATCTCACTACCATGAAGAAAGAACCAGGAATGCAGTGCGTCTTTGGATGTGAGATCCTTCCTTGTGCTGGACCTCTTTGGCAGAGAGATGAGAACACAGAACCAAGAGCCTGGCATGAGCTCTTTATGAGGTGGGCTTGCTGGCCCACAGAGTGAGAAAGCTGAATGGCTTTGGGCAGCAGGCTTGCTGGTGGAGTGGAGTGCACCTATAGGCAGAGCTAAAAGAGCTTTATAACACTTGCCTGAGCAGGGCAGAGGACAGGCTGCGAGGCCAAAGCCAAAGAGACGCATGCCTCAGGACCGGGCTGAGGGGAGGCTGTCCTGCTCCAAGAATATATCCTGAGTGTCCCTGAACCTGAACTGTAACCTGTTGCTTCCCTAATAAACCCCATAATCATGAATACTGTCTGTGAGTTCTGTGTGATCACTGCAATGAGTTATCGACCCTGAAGAATAGTAGAGAATGCCATGGGAGGGATGGTTGGTTTGAGAATTGGAAAAAAGGTTGGGGGTGTTGGCATGTCTGATCTCCATCTCACAGCAATCAGCCTTGGACTATTGATGTTCTCGATCCTCTTTTCCCTTCAGAGTCAGAGGGGGTTGGACGCCACCACCCCCATGCCCTTTTTGCAGTGCCTATCTCCTTACTTTGCTTTCTTTTTCTTCTTTGCACTTATCAACACATGGCATGTGTTATATTTATTTGCTACTTGTTTTTTGCCTATCTGTCCCCAGAACAGCATTAATGCCTTGAGCCAAAACTGGTTCTTGAGGAAAATCTCAGTCCTGCCATGGGTTGTCCTGCAATTGTAGGTAGAATGATTATCTGTCCAGGTATGAATCCTGGCAAGTTCTTTGACTTTCTAAAGACCCAACACCACTCGTCTGTCATTTTATAATACTATGGTGGCTTGTGTGTTGCTATGATGCTGGAAGCAATGTCACAGGTATTTCAAACACCAGTAGAGACACCCATAGTGGACAGGTTTCAGCAAAGCTTCCAGACTAAGACAGACTAGGAAGAGGGACCTGACAGTCTCCTTCTGAAAAAAAATGGCCAATGAAAACTTTATGAATAGTGATGAAACACTGTCTGGTATAATGTTGGAAGATGAGGCCCTCAGGTTGGAAGGTACTCAAATACGACTGGGAAAGAGCTGCCTCCTCAAAATAGTGTTGACCTTAATGATAGGGACGGAATCTTTATTTGATGTGGCATGTCAAAACAAGAAGCAACGATGGGCTCAAACTTAGCAAAGATTGTGAGTGTGGCACAGGACCGACCAGTGTTTCATTCTATTGTACACAGGGTCACTATGTGTTAGAATTGACTCGATGGTACCTAACAACAAGAGCAATCTCAGCTTTCCTCATCTCACTGCTGTCGAGTCGGATCAGACTCACAGCAATCCCTCCTTGGGTTTCCGAGGCAGTATCACTATGGAAGTAGATTGCCCAACTCCAAGAAGTGGCTGGTGGGTTTGAACCACCACCCTTCTGGTTAGCAGTCAAATGCCTTAGGCACTATGCCACTAGAACTCCTAAATCTTAACTTAGTGGACTATTAATTGCATGTGTTTATATTTAATCAGCCAAAAACTATGTCTATACTACTGGTACTTAGTAGGGAGTGCCCTGCTGTTAATTATTCTTTGTGGAGGAAGTAATATTGAAGGATTGAATACAAAAAGCCTGGTGATCTGTTTTTGTAAAGATTACAGCAAAGAAAACCTTGTGGAGCACCATTCTACTCTGTGTATCATGAGGTCACCATGAATCAGAACTGATGTCAATGGGTTTAGTCTGGGTTAAAGGATACTTAATTCACCATAGAGACTCTGAAATGGATGCTGGTACTAAACCAGCTCATCCAAGGAACCAATTTTTAAACCCCATTACTTTGGCCCCCTGAAGCCTTGCTGTTCTGAATTTGCTTTGATTCCAAGCCAAAGGACTGCACTGAGGAACACAGTATCCTCATGAAGCTTACTCAGCACACTATCAGGATACTGCCCATTAAGTCCCAAGGAGTCTCTCTGTAACAATGCATGGGAGTTCTTCCAGCCAGTCATAGCGCCAGGGAGTAGACAGCTGATTTTACTCATCAGTTCTCTCTTGAGGTTGTCTATTAATGTATGAGCTTCATTATCTCTTCCATCTCCTTCTTTTCCCTTAATCCCAACTTCCTCACTAACTTAGTTTTTAATCTTTGTATATGTATTTTTATAAGCTGTCTAAAGTCTCTTAAGGAGTAAAATTGAATATTACTAAATACAGTAATTAATGAATGGTCTTATAGACGCTCTCTTAACTTACTTCCATGTAAACAAGTGGCCAGATTAACTGATGCTGTCCTTCTCCTCAGACAGAAACATACCAACTGATGCCTATGGCCCGCCAAATGTGCAAGGCAGTGGGGTTTGTCTCTAAAACACCTGCATGCTTCTGCTTTTAAACCAGGTAAGTTGTGCATTTACCAAAAGTCAGTTATGTTATTCTCAGCATATGTATGGTAGCCTTATTTGTTATTGCAGCTATATAATTTAATTACTTTAAGTCAATGAGGTATGAGTACGAAAGAAAGCGATTGTTTTCTTGAACTACGGTGACTTTCAACTTCTGCATAACAAGTTAAATTTCTTAGAGTTCTTGACAGAGTTGTAAGATTCTTCTCTTGGGGAAACTTTCAGGATAGGCTCTGAGACGAGAACAGAAAGACGTTACTCACTTGCCACTTCCGACATCACATGATCGATGGCGCCCTGAAAGGGACTGTATCTGAGAAGAGACATAGAGAGCTGGGTTAATGCATTGTAAAATCAAATGAAAGTTTTTAAAAAGTGCCTTTGGGTACCAATCAACACACTTGAGGGCCAGGCATATAAGAAGCATCCACACATGATAGCAACTGAATACTAGATGTTTAAAACTTTTAAACTTGCAGACATAAGGGAGGCATAACATTAATATATTTTCTTAATTTAATGCTTTATTAACTTATCTTTTATGTTAATATTATTTCCTTTCAAAAATTCAATGTTTTACGTATATAACTTTTAAACAAACATTCCTTTTCCAACTAGGAAAAAGAGGACAGTGAGGAAAAAATTAAACTGCAAGTTGGCATGAGAAGAAAAGCAGGAAATAGAGAAACAAAACAGGGGGAGAGAGAGGAAATGAATGTTAGAGAAAATAAAGGCTTCAATTAGAATAGAAGCTCCAGGAAGGCCAGAACCACCTACAACAGGTGCTGTCTCTCTCTCTCTCTCTCTCTCTAAAATAATTTAAAAAAAAAACAAAAAAACCGAATTCCTCTGCTAGATATGACTCATGGAGCACTACAAATCCACACAACTAAGGAATATGAGCACCCTTCCCAGATAGAGCATCCCCGGTATTATAGGGAAGAGCAAATGCCACTGCCCTCTCTGCTGGAGAGGGTGCAGCATCATCTGATAAAACCGCCAAACCCACTGGTGCCTCCCATATCCAAAACGACACCACAGCATAGATGCTTCTCCTATACTTAAATATCTGAATTTTAAATTATGTTCTTTTCCCCAAAAAAGATTAAATATCAACTGCATCTTGATTTTACAACAAACGAACAAAAACTGCTGTATGAAAAGTGAATTTACTCTGTAAATCTTCACCCAAATCCTAAAAAAAAAAAAAAAAAAAAAAAAAAAAAAAAGGGACTGCACCAAAGGGAGGCAAAACAGGCAGGACAGTGAAGTATAAACACAATGCAAGCAACTGCAAGAGAGCCTCACTAAGGGCTTGAACTGGCTAACTTCCCTGTGGGAATAAAGGCCAAGTCAAGTGCTTCTACACTGGGTGAGGTTTACAGAGAAGGCCAAGGTGGAAGTTAACTAACACAATGTTAGATACAAACACAGAAAGGCTTGTGGAAATTACATTAAAGCAGATGCTTTTTAGTGGCCACAAGCTCTGGTATGACTGTCACAACTGTCCTGCCCCAGCCCCACACAGGATAGCCTTGTTACCCAAGGGATAACACTCCTAGAAGACTCAGTCAAATATCTTTGATTAAAGAAAGGGACACCTTGTGAGTTAGCAATTCTGGACAGAAGCTGGTAACTGGTAGAAGGTGTTGACTACAAAACAGTAAAATCCTCTGGCTTGTACTTATATTTAATAAAATAGTTTTCAGAGTATTTAATGACATGGATAAGATGAGGAACTGATAGATTCTTCTGAATGAGTCAATTTAAATGAGAACACTTTACCACTGATCCACACAATTGTTAATACATATTTTTTTAAATATCTGTCCCTGCTGTATTCTTCCATCTGTCCCCAGACAAGTCCTCTCCTCCCCCCCGCCCCCCACAATCCCTCTTGTTTTCTCTTCTGCAGGATTTACAGTGACCTCTGAAGAACAAATATTCAGTGACAGCACACATGGCTGAGAACTGCTCACCCACCTCCTTGGTCTCCCACAGCTGTTTTGGCAGTGGCTTGGGAACATTTAACAGATTCTCTTCTTTCAATGGGCCAGGGAAAGATACCACTAAAGGGGAGGGGGGGTGGAAATCACATTTATTGCATTAGAAGGCAGTCATTCCATCTTTAGCCAAACAATTATCTTTGTGAAAACTGACTTATTTAACAAAATTTATTGACTGTCTACTAGGGAAGGCATTTTGAGTATCACTATGGGGATTGCAGACAGGAGTAAGACATGGATTTAGCCCTTAAGGAATTTATAATCTAATTGGGAGAAAAAGGGACCATATAAATAACCATGACAGAAAGGAGAAACCAGTGGAAGCCCAAGGTAGCTATGGATACCATGCTGCTGAAAGGCAGAAAAGGAAACCAAGGAAGGCCTCTAGAGCTGGGCACCAAGAAGAGTCCATCAGGGACAAAGGAAAAGGATATTCCAAGAAAGGGAAAAATAAGATAAAAGGCTGAGAAAAGGAAGAAAAATGGTGGACAACTACTGACTAGAGTATTTCTCTTCAATTGGAGTGTAGGATAAGTTAAGGGGAATGGTAGGATACAAAGTTTAGAAGGTTGAGGCCAAATCAGGGAGGGTTCTGCAAACTCAGCAAAAGAGAGAATGGAGGAAGAGGAATGAGGGGAGACCCACAATAATTCAGGAAAGATGAAATGAGAAAAGTAACAAATGGAGAAAAGGAGTATCACATGGAAGATATGTGGGGAAGCTACTTATAATGATCTGAGAGAAGCGACAAAAAGGAATCAAAGATAACTGAGAGGATTTGAGCCTAAGCAGCTGAAGGGACAGTTATTGCCTCTTTGATGCTATAAAATAATCTGGCTTTGGACCTAGGGACCATGCCAGGACTTTCTGCTTTAACATTTAGTCATATCAGGTAAAGTGGAGTGCTGAGTCAAAAAACAAGTGAAAACATTTGTTCTCAGAGAGGGACCAGGAGACAAGGGCCACTTCTCAGGAATTAGGAGATAGGATGTCAGGAAAGGATCCACTAGAGAGATATCAGAACTATGAACACTGTTGGGTTTTAGTGGCCATAACTCTGGTATGACCATAACAGCTGTCCAGTCCTAGCCTCACACAGGAGTGGCCTTTGTTATCCAAGGATAACAGACTCCAGAAAGAAGTCACTTAAAATGGGGCAATATTTCAGAGTAAATTCTGAGAAGGTCTAAAAAAATGGAAACAAAGACTCTAAAGTAGATTTTATTTTACTTATATTTAACAAAACATAAGATATAACAACAATCGTGTACTCTTAATGAGTTAAGTAATGATGGGGAGTACAATTTCCCTGACAACACTGCAAAGCATGAGGCAATGTTCACCACAGTTAACTTTGCCAGCATCACCACAACAATGGTCACGTCTGCTAAAATATTCTAAGCTTTATCAGTTTTCCTATGATCCCTGTTAATCCTGATATGAAAACACTCTTTTAAAAGAGTTTTTTTCTGGTCAACATCCTTGTTGATATTATTTTCTTCAAATGCTACCACATCTAATTGTTAATATAAATTGCTGGGAAGTCCCTGGGTGGTACAAAAGGTTAATGTTCCATTGCTAACCAAAAGATTGGAGGCTTGAGTCCACCCAGAGGCACTTCAGAAGAACGGCTTGGCAATCTACTTCTAAAAAATCAGCCATTGAAAACCTTATGAAGCATAGTTCTACTCTGATATACACAAGATCACCACGAGTTTGAGTTGACTTGATGGCAACTGGAAAACAGTCAAACACTGGCCCTAAGAAAGACTCTCAATAAACTGGAGGACAAGAATAGTAGACTTTGAGAGCCTTGGTAAATCAAGACAACAGGAGACCAAAGGGGGAAAAAATGCTCTGAAAGGTATTGTTGGGTGCTAGGAAAAGTTTCAGTGGCTGACTGAGGAGGCTTCCCAACCCAAGGTTACTTCTTACATGAGGTTGGCTACATGAATAGAGTTGGGGTGCACTCCATTGCCTTAAAGGGGATTGTTTTCTGGAGATATTCATTGTTTCCAGTCTCTTTTCATATCCAAGAGTTTTTGGGAATTCTTCAAAGAATGCACTGGGGGAATGCAAACAACCTTGAAACCAGTTTCTCTATTTCTGTCCTAATGGATAAGATGTCTATTGATGTTTTAATTTTACATGATTTCATTAATGGCCTAAAATGGCTTGCCCAGAAAAGGAGTAGGTAGGGCAATGATAGAGAATTATGCCTCTAACACAAGATGTTCCTCATGTATTATATGCTTCATGAATCCTTATCTCGGTAACATATAAACCTAATTTAGTTGTTCATTTATTTTCAGATAATGAAATGAAATTTCAGGTTATAAAGATTTAGGAAAAAGAAAACAGTGCCTGGTACTGAAAGAATAAATGAACTGTATCAGATGCTCATCTGTCAATGGCTTTGAATGTCATTTCAGCAAATCTTTAATATTACTTTAATTGGCTTTTATGAAACTCAGTATCTTTTGCAAAGATTACAACTTCATTTTGCAATCAATTTACATTTTCCTTGTATCGCCTGTTTACAACATCTGTCAATTATTGACTCATAAAGACGTTCTAGACGGGCAGAGACCAACACTGGTGTTAAGGAAGAAGGATTTGAATAACAATTGTTTAAGTGACTGGTTCATTAATATTTTTATGTGATTATAACTTTACTTCCCCACAGTCTTGGGACTGTGGGGACCTGGATTACAATGAACCTCTGTATGCTAATTACAGATTTTAATTTGTGTGACTGGCATTAATTTCATAGAACAGGAAAGTAAGCCAATATGCAGTTGCCAGCATTTTGAGAAGGACTGAAACAGGAGTCTTAAATAGTTAAGATTCTGACAGACAGGTTAAGCTGAAACATCGGTATTCTATTAGGTAGATAAAAACAATCATACCTTCCCCATGCCCATCATTCTCACCATCACAGAAACCTAGTAGGGAAGAAAAGAAACAATTTTATGTGGTACTTTCATTTTTCTTTATTCATGAATTAGTAACTCCTCCTGATTCAAAAACTCAGAATTTTAAAAATTCTAAACCAATTTTGGTGTACTGATGTTTATTCAAGGTGCTTTAGCATTCATATTTGTGGTGCAGTAAATTACTTAACATGGCTCCTCTAGCCATGGTCTTTGTGACTTCCACCAAGTGACTGGGTGGGACTATGTAAATGTGAGGTGCTTGTGGCCTACCAAGAGAATTGGATAGCTTACTAACATGTAAATAAGGTACATGGCACCCTTGTTGGAGTGGGACCATGGAAATAAGGTGGAATCCTAATGAGGGGATTTTTCAGTTTTTGTCATTCTACTGTTGTTGTTGTTGTTATTTGCTAGCGAGTTGGACCTGACTCATAGCGACCCCTCCTTGGGTTTCCAAGGCAGTATCACTACAGAAGTAGATTGCCCCATCTTCCTTCCAAGGAGTGGCTGGTGGGTTTGAACCGCCAGCCTTCTGGTTAGCAGTCAAGTGCCTTAGGCACTATGCTACCAGAGCTCCTAGGCTTAAAATAAGTCCTCCTAGAGGCAGAAGGGGGGATCTCACTACTGTCAAGACAGAGAAGTGCCAGGAATGGAGAGCATCCTTGGACCTGAGATCCCTGTGCTGAGACAATGGCAGAGAGATAGCAGCAGCAGAGGCAGTGGAACCAACAGACCAGGAAGGAACAGAGTGGTGGGCTTGCTTGCCCACAGAGTGAGAAAGTTGAGTGCCTTTGGGCAGGAGGCTTGTTGGTGAAGTGGGGTGTACCTATCGGCAGAGCTAAGAGCTTTATAACACTTACCTGAGCAGGGCAGAGGCCAGGCCAGGAGGCCAAGGGCCAAAGAGAGGCATGCCTGTAGGCATGGCTGAGGGGAGACTGTCCTCATCCAAGAATTGTATCATGAGCATTCCTGAACCTGAACTATAAATAGTTACTTCCCTAACAAACTCCATAATATTGTCTGTGAGTTCTGTGTTGCCACTGTAATGTATTACTGAACCCAGCAGAGAAGTAAAGAGTGTTGTGGGAGGGACTGTTGGTGTCAGAACTGGTAAAAAGGTTGGAGGGTAGCATGTCTGATCTTCCTTTCATAGAGATCAGCCTTGGGCTGGTGCTGCTGATAGTGACTCTCTTTTCCCTTCGTGAAATTAGAGGTCAGAGGATGCCACCTCTGACCTTTTTGCAATATTAATTAAAACAGATATGGCTACCTTGAGGCCTTTAAAATTGTCTCAGCATGAAATTTTCTTAGTGCTTGTGTCCCAAGAGAATGACAATTTTCATATAGAACTTATATTCAAATCATAAAGTAAAGAAGTATAGATTGAAATTCTTCCAAATGTTTCATCATAGGAGGAAGGATAGGTAACTCAAAAAATCCACAACACTGTCTAGACTTACCATGAGTCTCTATAGGAACAAAGTAGAAGTTCCATGATATATGATGCTTTTTATATAGTAAAAAGATGTGATAGCTATTCACAAAGTTTTTAAAAAATTGACTTGGAATAAGGTTTTACTAAATAAAGTATTTTGATCCATAAACTGTAATACAGATGACAAAGTACAGTATTCTCTATTGCTCTAAGCTAAAGCCAAAGTAGTGTACCAAGAATGTAATATATTATCGTTTTCCTTGGAGAGAATACACCAAATGACTTTTCACTACAGCTTAAGAACAAAGTTTTACATTCTAAGTCTTTAAACATAGCTACTTAAAGTTTAGGTAAGTTTCTGGGTAAGCTTAATCTATAAATTAACCTGATTAGTCTATAAAACTTAAACTAAATGTCTAATAATAATTTATTCAGTATATATTTATTAAGTTCCTGATTGAGTAAATTTTAGATGTATAGATGAGAAGGTAGAACATGGAAGCAAACTCTCTAACACAAGTAGAACACATAAAATTTTAATGGAGTCCAGGGGCAGGGCAACACTGGGACTCCCCAGAAATACTAAGACAAATTAAGAGGTTGACAAATTAAGCACACCCATGAAGTTACAATTTCTCTCGGGCCCACAGAAACAGAATCTAAGGTAGTGGTTCCCAAACTTTATTTTAATGCACATAAAAATCATTTGGACAAAGCTTGTAAAATGCAGATTTTGGACCTAACCCTCAAAGATTTTGATTCAGAAAGTATGAGGATAAGCCTAGGAATCTGCATTTTTAATAATTACCTCAAGGACCTCTAATGCAGATGGTTCTGGGCCCAGTCATTGAGAGTGGTTATAGCTTAATCCAACCTTTCTGTTAGTAGCTGAGTACAAATTGTTTGTGCCACCCAGGGACCTTGAGCAGTGACTTTAATCCATCTACAGAAAGGCAATACTAACAGAAGAACATTAGAAAATAAGGTACAGAGAGACCAGAGGTGTGGCACTACTGAAAGGATGGGAGAGAAACTTCTGATTCATATTGTGGCTTCCTCAGGACCTCTGTATTGGGAAAGGGCAGCAAATCTGACCATTTTGATCACAAAAAAGTGATTACCTCTATGACAAAAAAAAAAAAAAAACCCACTAAGTTTTACACAGCAGTCTGGTATGGTATGTTTGAAGTATTTTTCATTATCAAGACATCAATCACTCTGGGTTTAATGACTAAAGTCAGTTTTCAGGCCTGTAAGGCTCACCTGTCCCTGAAACACGGGGACTCAATGGAGAGCTGACATGTGAAGCTGCCTGAGTGGCCACAGACACCCCATATGATACCCCATTACTGCAACATTCTCCATCCAATTAGAATAGAAGGAAAGCTTCATGGAGGAGGCAGCATCTGAATTAGGCTTTGAACAATGAAAATGATAATAACAAATAGCTGACATTACTGTTCACTAACTAGTGCCAGGCACTGTCCTAAGTGCTTTACACTGATGATCCCACTTTACCCTCACAGTAACTTTGAGGCAGGTTTTATTATTATCTGCCCAATATCATATTGCTAGTAAGTTCCAGGACCAGAATTCTGGCCTCTGTGCCTTCAGAGCCCATGCCCCTAACCAACAATTGGAGCAGAGTGTGAAGGAGATGCCCTGGTACAAAGACAGAAGGACAAGGAGAGGAAGGTGTGTACAGCAGGGGCAGAGGATGGTGCACAGGATGGGTGAAGGAGAAAGGGGAGATAAGGCTGAACCAGATAAGTCTGTCTTAGTGGTATATGGGGGAATGGAAGGTTTTGGTTAGAAAAGTGTTTAGAGCTAAGCTTTAGAGAGATGTTCTTGTAGCAGATTATGAGATAGATTGAAAGGAGAAAACAAGACCTGGTTAAAAAAAAAATCAGTATAGTAGTGTAGGTGAGATGAAAAGAAGTAGGATATCAATAGTGACTGGAAACTAAAGGACAGATCTGAGACACACTGCAGGGACTGAATGGACAGGACAGTGAATGTGGGGCATGAGGGAATGGGAGTAATTAAATACAACTCCCAGATTTTGAGCTGGGGTGACCAAAAGGATGGTAGCAGAAATAACTGATGTCAACTTTTAGCACTATGCTAACACATACTGAAAATATCCAAGGCTGGATTTTTACTACTTGATAAAAAGTATTATAGGATACAATTAAAATAAAGGGTTAAAAAATAAAAAAGGTGTTCCTTTTAACCAATCACTAATCATGACTGGTTATCTGAAAACACATCCCACAGGAGATCAGTCCCTGCATCTGTATTCCAGGAAACTGCAGCTGCTGAACCACCGGGGCTGACCTCTCCTAATAAGCCTAAGGCCATGCTCCCACTCTGTACTCCCAGGCCTGATGAATCTAAAATAACTCTCGGCATAATTTTGATTTGGTGAGCAGAGGGGAAGGCAAGCGGTAGAGTGGTTAACCAGAGTGTGTCCTAAAAGAAGCCTCTGGTTTTCAGCCTCCTCATTCTGGGCCCTCTTACTATCTGAGTGCCACTCTTTTTGCTCCTCTTTAGACATGGGATGCTGTCTTCCACCCCCCTCATCATTGCAATCAAGTGTCATTTAACAGGCTTACTACTTTCAGGGTCATTTGCAGTTATTCTTCTTATCTATGTAAGTCAAAGTATATAACCTGTGGAGGTAGAAGGCATATCCTGTTCCCAGAGAAGGAGCTTGAGGACTGTAGTCCTCAAAGATGGAGACACTCGGCATCTATGGCTCTGGGTGCCTGCATGCATGTGTGTGTGAAATGATAATTAAACTGCATATGCCGCCAAGGCAATAATCAACATTTCTCTTTACAGTTTCTGGGTAATTAAAACAACATGATAAAAATCTTGTTTATTGTATAAAAGTTTATTTCTGTCATTTATAGCAACTCCTTATCATTTGTGCCTAATTATCATGCAATCCAATAACCATTATGAAAATTACAAAACATGTATCAGATTAATGGCTTTATTTTCTTGGAACATAAACCTTTACTCATGAATATATCATAGGTTATTGCTCATGTAGTTAAGCTATGAGCAAATGCTCCATTATCATCTGCTTACAACCAAAGGGAGGAAAAAAATCAGCAGGAACATTAATCGAGGCTACATCACTATGCTCAGGCAAGATTCCCAGGGAAAGAAAAGTTATTACTGCTTCTACTACAGAGCCGAATTCTGGGCTTCAATTACATTTTCCCATCACTTTCTTTATCTTTACTTTATTTGGTTGATCCTATAATAAGAAATACCTTTTTGCAAAGCTAGTTAGATATTTTTAAAATACAGAAGGAAAGAAAATGAAAAACTTTAATGAGTTACAGGGGGAAAATACATGAAACTATTTTAAATAGCTCCTACCAACAAATATAATTCTCCAGAAATAATTCTCATCCTTGGAGACTTGGATAATATTTTAAACACAACTGGCTTTCCCATGTAAACACGTCCATATTTGGATGTGTTTCTGAGTTCTGCTATACTTGCAGGGCCACTGTGCAGAAGGAGGCACACAATTCATCCATTCAAGCTGGAGGTCATCCTGCCTGCCATGGTTGTCATATACTGTAACCCAACACTTTCTAACTGCTGATTTTAAAATGAGAGACCACCGTGACTCTGAACTCAGGAGTCCTGCTCCAGCTACTTTCTTACCACTTGGTCTACCAGGATCAACACTTAAGATTTTTACTCATCCTCCCTTACACCTTCTGACACTTCTCACCTCTTCCCTCTCAGAGTCTGAATCATTCTTTTTTTTATTATAATTGTGATTTGGGTGGAAGTTTACAGAGCAAATTCACTTTCCATACAGCAATTCACACACACTTTGTCTCATGACACTGACTACAATTTACCCTAATGCAACAGCTTCCTCCTGATAGTTACCTCTTCCCTGTGTCCATCCTTCCATGCACTCCTACCCCCTAAGTTGTCTCCCTGTGCATAAACAGTCCTTCTTTCTCCCATGATTGTTCCCTCCAAGGAGTGTGTCTACCTCAGGTAAATGTTCAACTCCTATGTCTGTCCTTTGTTTGGCTGGAAGCCACAAGTGTGGGTTCAATTCCAGACCTAAGGGCAGCTAGGGGCCACAGTCTCTGTGGTTCCACCAGACTCTATCAGACAAGCAAACCTGGTCCCTTTTTTTTTTCCCCAAATGATTTTGAGTTTTGTTCCACATTGTTCTCCCTCTCTATCCAGGATCTCCTACACAGATCCCCCTCTAAGTGGTTGACAGTGGTCGCCAGGCACCATCTAGTTCTTCTGGTCTCATAGTTATACAGGCTGTGGATCACATGGTGTACCAGACGCTAGGACTAACTGTTTCCATGAATCTTTTGTTTTCTTCATTCTTCTTTGCTCTGGACAAAGAGAGACCCATCGTTGCATCTAGATGGCTGCTTGCAAGCTTTTAAGATCCCAGTCGCCACTTGCCGAAGTAGGAGATGGAACAATGTTTTGTGTAGCATGTTATGCCAATTGAACTTGATGTCCACTGTGACTATGGTCCTGAGTCCACAGGTTCAACTACTCAGTCCTTCTGGGTAGATGGTTGTGACCAAGAAGTGACTACAACCTTGTCCCTTGTCAGCTCTACTATACACCTGGGAATTCTTACAGAACATACAAATACACTTGTAGAACCACTGTCTGCCAATCCTATACATGGTCTTGGGTACACTCCCTGTTGCATAGACATACCTAATAGTTCAGCCTGTCCAGCCATCTATCCACCTGTATACCCGTGTTTGCCTTTACTGACAATGTAGTACTGTATGTGCAAAAGGGTCTGAATCATTCTTAACATAATGTTGTTAACAAGTTGCTGTTGAGCTGATTCTGAATCATAATTTCAATTCAATTAATCAGTTACTTTACTTACTTTCTTTTCTCATTGCAGGCAAGCCTCAAAAATTTCTCACTTAAATTATCTAGGCCTTTGGCTCCTTCTGGAGACATCTAAACTTTGTACAGAAGGCAAGCAAAGAAAGGAATGGTAGAAGCAGAAATGCAGTTCTTCACTTGGGGCTCTGGAGTCAAATCTATCAATCTGGTTCCCTTCCAGTTCAGGGAGACTAAGATTTTACTGCACTCACTGATTACAGTCTCTACTTTTCTTAGGTTTTGGTGATATATTCCTATATCCTAAAGCTAAACTACTCTATCTTCTCATATATCCCAATGCACTTCTCTGAGCAGTGAACAGTAGATCGACATCCAATTCCTACCTAACCAAACCAACTATACCCGCATATTCCCATGTGTGGAAACATGGCTGGATGTTTCTGACCTATTCTGAAAGCTTATACTTTACAAGCAAGCTATCATTTAGGAAATGTAGTCATCTCTAAATTGCACTAATGGAACAAATATAGTCAACAATTATTATTTAAGTCCCTACTCTATGCAAGGAAGTATGACCATGAAAGTTCTCCTTGGAACAAAACAGAGATTATTTAGTCTTTCTTTAAGTAGCCTAAAAAGTAAAGAGAACCAAAAGAGCTGGTATTATCTCAAACAAAGATTTACTTATTCCCTATTTCAAGACCAAACACAAAGCGCTAAAAGTTTGTTGGACTAGGGTCAGTATGTACACGAAATGGATAATTCAAGACCATTGTTTCCTCTGAAAGGCAGGCTTGGGATATGTCTTGAATTGGCCTCATATCTCATACAGGTTAGATGTCAGCACCAACAGTGCGTTTTATCAAATTCTGTGTACACATGAGCCAATATTTCATTTAGCCACACTTCTCCATCATGGAGGGTTCCTCTGTGCCAGACACTGTACTAGATATGAGAGATATAGTAAGATTAGTGATGCTGACTGCAAGAAACCTACAGTTAAGTAGAAGGAGAAAAGCATGGCTGAGTAAAAAGGTAGTCAAGTGCCACAGGTGCTAAGGTAACAGCCTGCAAGTAGGAGCTTGGGACTGGAAGAAGGACATGGGTAGTTCTGCATTGGCAGAGAGAGGAAGGTCAAGGATGGCTCCACAGAAGTGATGACACAAGCTGAGGCTTACAGATTGAGGGAGTGTTGGTCAGGTAGGCCAGGAGAGAGTTAAGAGAGCAAAAGATGGGAACAGGATTATCAGAACCCAGAGTGGTTCATGTGGCTGCCTTGGGGAGTGAGACCGGTGAATTGAGAGAGCAGGGCCAGAAACTGGAGCTCCATGATATTCCAAATGGAATGATTTGGATCTTTTCCTGGGTGCGACACAGAGGGTTGTAAGCAGGAGAGTAAGATGGTCAGATTTGGGTTCACACAAGAAGTAGAATGGCATGAGTATGCCATTTCCCCATTCCTAGTCATCTGTCACTCCTGGCCTCTCTCTAATCTTTTACTCACTCACCCAAGGGACCAGCAAAATGGAGAAGAACAACTGAACAAGTGATGCTCTACTCTAGTTAAGCTCCCATTTCTGCTCAGGGCTGTGCCCACCCTCAGGTGGTACACTTTTTCTCTGCTCTTCCTTGCCCTTCAGTTTTTCCTGAGTACTCCTGCCATAGGGAAGGCCCACCCTGGGCCAGTGCTGCCAGCCACTGGAAGAGTCTGCCTCACTCTGGGGTTCTGAAGTAAGCAACCCACAGCCCCAAAGAGAGAAGTCACTTTTTCCAACTTGGTCTTGTCAGTGATAAAGATGATAATCTAGTCACAACTGTCACTTCTGGTTTCATTTCTGTTTGTTCAGATCCTGGTAGGAAAAAGGAGACTCTCACACAATTGGGTTGGAGAGATCTAAGGCTGGAAATAAGGAGACCCATCAGGAAGTTATTATGAGACCCTGCAAAAGATAAGGGACTATGAAAGGGAAATGTGGTAGAGAGGAGAGGAAGCTTGAGGGCCAGAGATACTAACAAGGTAGACTTTCCAGTGGAAGAAGCAGGACAAAGAACATGACGTCAGAAGCTCCATCCTAACTTTATCATGAACACATGAACACTTCCCCTGCCATGAGTTTTCTTCTCTGAAGACTACCAAACCAGGGTATATATACCACTCAAGCTTTCTTCTCCCTTAGTTCCTGTAGCACAGAAGGAGAAAGATGTATAGTGAGTTTGTGTGTCTTACCCATGTATGGGGCAGGCCAAGCTGACTGCCCCCCTCCTCCATAGGGGTCGTGGGGCTTGGTACTCAGAGCACTCGTGTGAAGAGCAGAATCAGAATTGGTCCTAAGGAGGGAGGAGAGAGGTTGGTTGAAAATCCTTATTTCTTCAGTGAAAATGACATATTCTTTGCTGAATATTAGCAATAGGAAAGAAGGCAAGACAAACCAATTTATAATCATCCATAAAATGAGGGGGTTTAGACTTACCTGAAATCCCTTACATTAATAACAGCCTCTGAGGATCACTCATAGCCAAACAGGCTTTAATTTGTACTCATATGACCTTATGCTTTGTGGCTAATGTTGTTGTTGTTAACTGCCATTGAGTCATTTCTGACTCATAGCGACCCTATGCACAGCAGAATGAATAGAATGAAACACTGCCTGGTCCCGCGCCAGCTCCATGATCCTTGCTCCACTTGAGCCCATTGTTGCAGCCACTGTATATATCCATCTCATTGAGGGCCTTCCCCTTCTTTGTTGACCCTCCACTTTACCAAGCATGATATCCTTCTCCAGGGAATGGTTCCTTCTGACAACATGACCAAAGTAGGTGAGATGAAGTCTGGCCATTCTCACTTCCAAGGAGCATTCCGGCACTTCTTCCAGCAAAGATTCATTAGTTCTTTTAGCAGTCCATGGTATTCTTAGCATTCTTCTCCAACACCACAACTCAAAAGCATCAACTCTTTTTCGGTCTTCCTTATTCACCATCCAACTCTCACATGCATAAGAGGTGATTGAAAATACCATGGCTTGGGTTAGACACACCTTAGTCTTCAAGGAGACATCTTTGCTCTTCATCACTTGAAAGAGGTCTTTTGCAGCAGATTTGTCCAATGCAATACATCGTCTGATGTTTTGACTGATGCTTCCATTGGTGCTGATTGTAGAACTAAGTAATATGAAGTCCTTGACAACTTCAATCTTTTCTCCATCCACCGTGAAGCTGTTTACTGGACCAGTTGTGAGGATTTTTGTTTTCTTTACATTGAGGTGTAATCCTTACTGCAGGCTGTAGTCTTTAATCTTCATCAGTAAGTGCTTCAAGTCATCCTCACTTTCAGCAAGCAAAGTTGTGTCATCTGCATATCGCAGGTTGTTAATGAGTCTTCTTCCAATCCTGATGCCACATTCTTTTTCCTATAATCCAGCTTCTCAGATTATTTGCTCAGTATACAAGTTGAAAAAGTATGGTGCAAGGATGCAACCTTGATGCACTCCCTTCTTGATTTAATCATGCAGTATCCCCTTGTTCTGTTTGAACAACAGCCTCCTGATCTATGTTACAGGTTCCTCGTGAGTACAATAAAGTATTTTGGAATTCCCATTCTTCTCAATGCTATCCATAATTTGTTATGATCCAAACAATCGAATGTTTTTGCATAGTCAATAAAATATAACTAAACATCTTTCTGGTATTCTTTGCTTTCAGCTAAGATCCATCTGACATCAGCTATGATGTCCCTCATTCCACATTCTCTTCTGAATCCAGCTTGCATTTCTGAAAGCTCTCTGTCAATATACTGCTGCAACTGTTTTTGAATTATCTTCATAAGATTTTACTTGAATGTGATATTAATGATATTGTTCAATAATTTCCACATTCTGTGGGATCACCTTTCTTTGGAATGGGTACAAATATGGATCTCTTCCAGTCAGTTGGCCAGGTAGCTGTCTTCCAAGTCTCTTGGCATGACCGAGTGAATGTCTTCAGCGGGGCAAGTGTTCGTTGAAACATCTCGATGAGTATTCTGTCAATTCCTGGAACCTGTTCTTTGTCAATTCCTTCAGTGCGGCTTTGACTTCTTCCTTCAATACCATTGGTTCTTGATCATATGCCACCTCCTGAAATGGATGAATATCGACCAGTTCTTTTGGTACAGTGACTCTGTGTATTCCTTCCATCTTCTTTTGATATTTCCTGCATCATTCAATGTACTGCCCATAGAATCTTTCAATATCACAACTTGAGGCTTAAATTTTTTCCTCAGTTCCTTTAGCTTGAGAAATGACAAGCATGTTCTCCTCTTTTGGTTTTCTAAGTCCAAGTCTTTACACATTTCATTATGGTAACTGGCTTTGTCTGCTCAACCTGCTCTTTGAAATCTTCTGTTCAGCTCTTTGATCTTGTCATTTCTTCCATTTGCTTTAGCTACTCTCCATTCAAAGGCAAGTTTCAGAGTCTCTTCTGACATCCATTTTGGTCTTTTCTTCTTGTCTTGTCTTTTTAATGATCTCTTGCTTCCTTCATGGATGATATTCTTGATGTCATCCCACAATTCCTCTGGTTTTCAGTAACTGATATGCAGTGCATCAAATCTATTCTTTAAGTGGTCTCTAAATTCAGGAGGGATTATCAAGATCATATTTTAGCTCTCTTGGGCTTGTTTTAATTGCCTTCAACTTCAACTTGAACGTGGATATGAACAGTTGATGATCTGTTCCACAATCAGCTCCTGGTCTTGTTTTGGCTGAAGATATTGAGCTTCTCCATTGTCTCTTGGCTCAGATGTAGTCAATCTAATTCCTGTGTATTCCATCTGGTGAAGTCCACATGTATAGTCATTTCTTATGTTGTTGAGAAAAGGTATTGCAGTGAGTAAGTCGTTGGTCTTGCAAAATTCTATCATGCAATCTCCAGTGTTGTTTCTATCTCCAAAGCCATATTTTCCAACTACAGGTAACTCTTCCTTGTTTCCAACTTTTGCATTCCAGTCACCAATGATAATCAACATATCTTGATTGCATGTTTGGTCAATTTCAGACTGCAGAAGTTGGTAGAAATCTTCAATTTCCTCATCTTTGGCTTTAGTGGTTGGTGTGTAAATTTGAATAATATTAGTATTAATTGGTCTTCCTCATAGGTGTACGGATATTATCCTATCACTGACAGCACTGTACTTCAGGAGAGATCTTGAAATGCTCTTTGTGATGATGAATGCCACACTATTCCTCTTCAATTTGTCATTCTTGGCATAGTAGACCATATATGGTTGTCTGATTCAAAATGGCCAAAACCGGTCCATTTCAGCTCACTAATGCCTAAGATATCGAATTTATGTGTTCCATTTCATTTTTGACCACTTCCAATTTTCCTAGATTCATACTTCATAGATTCCATGTTCCAATTATTAATGGATGTTTGCATCTGTATCTACTCATTTTGAGTTCTGCCACATCAGCCAATGGAGGTCCCAAAAGCTTTACTGTATCCATATTGTTAAGGCTGTCTCTACTCTGAGGAGTCAGCTCTACCCCAGTCAAATTTTGAGTGCTTTCCAACCTGATGGGCTCATCTTCTGCCACTATATTGGACAGTGTTTCAGGCCTATTCATAAAGTTTTCCAGTAATATATCATACAGTCTTTCACTGCTATGCATAAGGTTTTCACTGGCCAACTCTTTGAGAAGTGGATGGCCTCTTCCTTCTTCCAAGTCTGTCTTAGCCTGGAAGCTCTGCTGAAACCTGTCCACCATGGGTAACCCTGCTGGCATTTTGCACCACGGTGGCATAGCCTGCCTCACAGCAACAGGTAAGCCACCACAGGATAACAAACTGACAGATAAGTTTGTTGCCTTTAGTTGTTCCTAACCCTTCTGCATCTGTCTACCTCAGCAACAGCCTTAAAATAGAGCCACCCACAAGTGAAAAGCAGCCCACGAACTCTGGCCTGCCTGCCTCAGGCCCTGGCCTTTAAATAGAGCCACTCCTAAGCAAAAAGCAGCCTCCAAGCTCCAGGCCCGCCCACCTCAGGCCCCGGTCTTAATATAGAGCCAACCCCAAGTGAAAAGCAGCCTTCAAGGCCCAGACCCGCCTATGTCAGGCCCCGGCCTTAATAAAGAGCTGCCCCTAAGTGAAAAGCAGCCCCCAGGCCAGCCCTCAGCAGCTAATAATATGATGATCTATTTCAACAAGACAGGCCTCAGATTCATGGTTGCCCTCTAAGACCTTCCTATTCTTCCTTGGACTTCAGAAGATCACTGCAACTAGGTTTCATTTCCGGCGCCTGCACTAGATTTTCTCCATCTGAGAAGAACTGTTCCTATGTGAAAGATCACCTATCGCAATGGTTCTCAAAGCCTTTCAGAGGGGATGCAAAGTCAAGACATTTTCAACATAATACTAATGTTATTTGCCTTCACTCTCATTCTCTCATGAGTGTTCAGTGGAGTTTTCCAGCAGCTGTGTGACATCACCACAGACTGAATATATAAGCAGAGAATTCAGCTGTCTTAAAGAGATTTCTAAAATGTACAGTGCCACTCTTCTTATTTTTGAAAATATAATTGTGTTTCTTAAAAAACATATTGATGTTAACATGTAATGAGTTTATGACAGTTATCTTAAAAGCATTAATAAGTATATTGAACTCAATTTAATCTCTAATATTAATGGATACATACTGATAGATATATCCACATAAACAAAAGGTCTCTGAGGCCCTCAATGTTTTTTAAGAATGTGTTGTTGTTATGTGCTGTCAAGTTGTACCCGACTCATAGCAACCCCTCGTTGGGTTTCCAAGGCGGTATCACTACGGAAGTAGATTGCCCAACCTTCCTTCCGAGGAGTGGCTGGTGGGTTTGAACTCTAGCCTTCTGGTTAGCAGTTTAAGAATGTAAAGGAGTCCTAAAACAAAAAGTCTGGGGACTGGTTGGATTGGAGGGATATAAGATTGAGACTAGCAGACGAGTTAGGAAGTTATTTTAACTTCCTATGTTATAATTTGGAAGGAAGGTTGGACAATCTACTTCCGTAGTGATACTGCCTTGGCAACCCAAGGAGGGGTCGCTATGAGTTGGGGCCAACTTGACAGCACATAACAACAATCAACATGTTATAATAGCAAATTTTTGAAAACCTTCCAGACAGCTCCAATTTACACATAGCCTTGACTCCAAGGGATGATTATTTACTTATCTCAGTCAATGGTCAAACTTTCTGCCATAAAAATGACTTAGGAGAGACTTAATTAAGTTCAAAGTAGCCTAAAGTGCCTCTTTTAAAAAATTTTTCCAATTGTGATTTGGATGAAAGTTTACAGAGCAAATTCATTTTCCATTCAACAGTTCATACACATTTTGTTTCATGACATTGATTACAGTCCCCATAATGTAACAACTCTCTTTCCACTTCCTCCCTATGCTTACCTTTTCTTGTGTTCCTTCCTATACATTCTTGCCTTCTGAGCTATTTCCCTGTGCAAATATTGCCCTTCTGATCTCCCATGGTTGACTGTTCTAAAGAGTGTACCTATCTGGTGTAAATATTCACCTTATAGCCTATTGTTTGACTGGAAGCCATGAGAGCGGCCAAGGGAGTGAATTCAATACCAGGCCCCCTAAGGGCCAAAGTCTCGGGGGTTTCACCAGTCTCTATCAGACCAGTAAGCCTGGTCTTCTAAAATGCCTCTTTGTGGTCCATTCCAGGTGACAGCCTTGTGTGGCACTAAGCTATGAGGTCTGACTGTATCATGGCTGTGTTGTGTTCAGACAGAGAGAAGGAGCAGTTCAGACTCACATGGTACAATACAAAGAGTATGGGCTCTGAGATCAAAGAGACCTGGGTTCAGATTCCTCCTCCTTTACTGCTTCAAAGAGACCCAACCAAAACCAAAAAAGCCAAACCCACTACCATTGAGTTGATTCTGACTCACAGCAACTCTATAGGACAGAGTAGAACTTCCCCATAGGGTTTCCAAAGCTGTAAATCTTTATGGAAGCAGATTGCCTATTTTTCTCCTATAGAGCAGCTGGTGGGTTCAAACTGCCAACCTTTTTATTAGCAGCCAAGTGCTTTAAGCACTGCACCACCAGGTTCCTCCAAGAGACTATCAATCAAATGCAGAGAGCCAACTGGGAAAATCTAATTATAGACTGGTTATTAGACAATATTAAGGAATTATTGAGAATTTTAATGATGGCATGAATGTGGGTCTTTTTTTAAAAAAGATTCTTATTGGCCTTATACTGCTGAAATACTACTATAGGTGAAATACTATATGTAGTTGGTTTAGGATAGGGTTGGGCAGTGGGGGGTGGAGATGAAACAAGACTGGCAGAATGTTAAGGGCTGAGCTGAGGGATAGACATAAGAGGCCTCATTATAACTCTTCTCCCTTGAACGCATGTGTCACATTTTCTGCTATAAAAAGATGTTTTTAACCCTGTTTCATCATATATTAGGTAAGTGACCTTGGGCTAGTCACTTAGTCTCTTACAACAGAATATAATACCCATCCTTATAGGATATTGTCAAGACTAAAAAAGAACATGTATAAAATACCACTGGAGTCAGGCCCCAAGTGATCATAATAGCTAATGTTTATTGAACACATACACTTCCCATGTATAAGCTTATTTAATCCTCAGAACCATCTTATGATATAGGTACTATTATCTCCATTTTTCAGATGAGTAAACTGAGGCAAACAGAAGTTAAATAACATGCTTAAGGCCACAGAGTAAAAAGCAAACCCTGGTAGTTCCATTCCAGATCTCACGTTCTTACACTGTTATACTGGCCCCTCAAACATTCAGTAAATGCAAAGGGTTCTGTTGTTTTTTAAAAAAACATTTCATATAAACATAACTGACATAAACATGCTCTGGCCATCAGATGATATGTACAGAACATCAAGGCAATCAGATTGATTGGACTTCTCCTTTAACATCTGCTTCTACCAGGAAACAGCCCATGTACCTGTTAAGTGCAGACGTCAGCCTGAACCCAGGATGCTTTTCTTCTTTCCAAGGAGGCTGCTGCCTTTAAAAACCAGAACATGAGAGAAAAGGAATTCAATCCACAGGGAGCAAAGGAGAGCATCATCAGACCTGGGTTTGAGGAATGGCTCTGCTACTCACTCAGCTGTACAACCAGAGGAAAGTCATTTAGACATGCTCCAGGCTTTGCTCATTTTGCTCATCACTGTTGAAGGAGGTCAGACTGAATGATCTTTCCAGTTCCTACGATTTCTGATTTCCATGATAAAAACTATCATAAATCCATCAGTCTGGGATAAGTTTGATGAGCATTTTGTTGTTTTCATTGTGTGCCATCAAATTGATTCTGACTCAGAGCGACCTCATGTGACAGAGTAGAACTGTTCCATAGGGTTTCTCAGGCTGTAATCGTTATGAGAACAGAGCACCATATCTTTTCTCCCATGGACCTCCTGGTGAGTTCCAATCTCTGATCTTTCAGTTAGCAGCCAAGTGCTTAACCATTGCACCATGAAGACTCCTTTTGCTGAACATATGAGGATTTTTTAAAATTTTTTATTATTCATGTATTTATTTAAAAAAGGCAAACAAGGACCTTTGAAAGCCTTTTGAAAGAGTTCAAATCTATGACAGACTGCTCTCTAGGGGACGTGGAGCTTTACTCCAATGTCTAAGAAATTACCCCTCATCATATACTCTCAGAGTGAGTGTGAGTAGGGAGTGCCTAGACAATCTTGGATGCAAAAATTTATGTTCCATACAGATAGCCCGGAAGAAGAATATGATTGTTACCTAGTTTATGAAAATAATAGTCTGAATAATGCTAGTGCTCTGGAAAGGATAAGAGTTTTTTCCTGGGCACAGATAAGGAGAGTATCAGTTTGGAGATGCCCTTTTATGATTTAAGATAAAATACTGTATTTATCTTACAATCCTGTACCCTACATTAGTTCTTGAGGGGAGTTAAAGATCTTTATGATGTAGAGACCAGATGTTATACATCTTTGTATCTTTTCCTAGGTCCAGGCTGTATTATCTACAGTAGGTATTTGCCCAGAGAATAGTTAGACCTCAACCCAGAGACCTAATGTTTTTCAATATCTACATTTCAAATACCTTTTAAAGCTGACTTACCAATCACCAAACCTATTGTCATCAACTTGATCCCAACTCATAGGGACCCTATAGGACAGAGCAGAACTACCCCCACAGAAATTTTTTTCAGTATCTACATTTCAAATACCTCCTAAAGCTGACTTACCAATCACCAAACCTACTGTCATCAACTTGATTCCAACTCATAGTGACCCTATAGGACAGAGCAGAACTACCCCCACAGACAGTAATCTTTATGGAATTCCAAGGCCATAATCTTTACAGAAGCAGACTGCCACATCTTTGTCCTGTGGAGTGGCTGGTAGGCTCAAACCACTGATCTTTGGGTTAGCAGCCAAGTGCTAAACCATTGTACCATCAGAGCTCCTAAATCTGATTTGTTGTTGTTGTTCTTTGCTGTCGAGTCAGACCCGACTCATAGCAAGCCCTCCTTGGGTTTCCGAGGCAGTATCACTACGAAAGTAGATTGCCCCATCTTCCTTCCGAGGAGTGGCTGGTGGGTTTGAACCGCCAGCCTTCTGGTTAGCAGTCAAGTACCTTAGGCACTACGCTACCAGAGCTCCTAAATCTGATTTAGTGATCTGAAAATGTTATCACACAATGGTGCAGCAGTCTGATTTTGCTTATTTTATGTTGGGTAAAAAAACACTAAGAGACCCTAAATCAAATCTATTGCACAAATTATTGCACCAGCCACTCCTCAGAAGGAATGTTGGGCAATGTACTTCCATAGTGATACCGCCTCGGAAACCCAAGGAGGGGTCGTTATGAATCGGGTCCGACTCAGTGGCACATAACAACAACAGGAGTCTTTTGTTCCGTTCAGTAGCTAATACCCTGAGGAAAAGCATTTTCTTTTTCAATGTCTCAAATACAAGAATATCAAACCAGAATATTTTGTCAGTAAATATATTCCAAATATGCTTCTATTTGGTTTTAATTTTGAAGATCTAGATTTATTTACATAACTTTTTATTTTAGTTTCATAAACCTATATACATGGAAAGAGTTAAGTTTTATAAGAAGAAAAAAAAAACTTTTATATTTTATATTAGGAATTGCTAAAACAATATGGATGAAATAGAGCAAAGCCATCCAATAGTAACACATGCCCATCATATCTTTTAAACTGTGGTTAGCTTACCTTGGCCAACTCTCATCCAGAGGCTGTGAGGAATAATTGGTTCCAAAAGTACTACCATCGAAGTAGAATTTTTAATAAAGGAAAATTAAATTAATGGAAAGTTTAAACAGAATTAAGTTAGAATCATGGAGAGTTAAACAACTGAATTTTTGGCTCTTTATCTCTATATGATTTCTCTTATCAACTTCCTCTAGGATGCTTTATCCCCCTATCTTTTAATCAGTGTCTTCTTTGCATGATTCACATGACATGCTACTTATTTTGATTATTTATTTATTTATTTATTTGCCTGCACAGCATCTTTTGTTTCCAAAACAAAACACTCCCACGCCAAACCTGGTAAGACTGTTATTCTGTGCTGGCCTCTCTTTCCCATAGGATGGACCCAGGCTCAGAATTTCTCATCACTGTACCCTATCTCCCTAGAAACAGTGATTGGCTCAGAGATGGGTTCATGACCCATGCAGGACTAAGAAGAGTCCCCAGCTAAGGTGGTAAGCCTGAGTACCATGTGAGTCTGGGGTTATCTCCTTGGAGGAAGCCAGTTTAAGTATGAAGTCAACACAAAGGTAATCACCACAGAGATACAGTTTCAAGATACTGTATGAAACCCTGGGTCGAGTTCTTGGGTTTTCAGGGATATAAGCTAATACATTTCTTTTTTTCAAGTTAAACCAAACCCACTGCCATGGAGTCGATACCAACTCATAGTAACACATTAGGGCAGGGCAGAACTGCCTCATAGGGTTTCCAAGGCTGTAAATCTTTACAGAAGCAAACTGCCACATCTTTTTCCCATGGAGTGGCTGGTGGGTTTGAACCACCAAACCTTTTGTTTAGCAGTTAAATGCATTAACCACTGCACCACTAGAATTCCTTTCAAGTTAAGGAGAGTTGCCGTTATTTACAACCAAAAGAATGCTACACTGAATTTGTGGAAAACTATAAACTTCCTGGTGTCAGTCAGCATGGGCTCTTGCTTTATAAATTCTATAACCTCACAGCATCTGGTCTGCCCTAGAACATCAAAAGATTGGTGGTCCAAACCCACCAGCCTCTCTATGGAACAAAGATGAAGCAGTCTGCTTCCATAAAGATTTATAGCCTTGGAAACCTAAAGGGGGTAGCTATGAGTTGGAACTGACTTGATAGCAGTGAGTCTGGTTTGGTTTTGGTTACTATGTGCCAAGCCTGTGGTGAGTAGGTTCAAAGTCTCATTTAATCCTAATGATCCTGAGAGGTAGACGATATCATCCCCATTTTCACAGCTAAAGAAACTGAAACTCAAGTCTGTAAGAGTTGAGAAAGTCATGATCAGACAGCTGATGCAGCAAAGCAGGAGTGAAAGGCACAGTCCACTGATTGCAATGCAGGTGAGTTATCCACTAACCTGCCTCCCAGGAAATAGTGAACTAACACCAAATGCACTAGAAAATATAAAATATGCATCTGAGAATTTCCTAGGAAGAAGAAAGACAGAAGCTATAAAAGAAGGCATCATCTGCTTGGGCTCAGGAGGAAATGAGAACCTTGGTGAAGGTGGGACCTCTCACGCAGGGCTCTCAGATGAATACAGACCTGGAATCAGTAAAACATGGGCACTAAGGAGTGCTGGTGGTAGAGAGGGTGCAGAGCAGAAGGAGGAGACCCTGGCATGGGCATTCTGGGAAGGCTCTCCAGGGACTCTGAGCCCCAGCCCTGGTGTCGAAGGTTGAGAACCCCTGACCTCCAGGCTCTCCTCGAACAATCCCATCCATACCTATGACTCTATCACCCATACTCCAGTAACTCACAAAATCATACTTCCAGCTCCCAACAGTTCTTGTGCCAGTCCATGTTTTCAACTGCCTACTCTTCTTCTCTACCGAATAATACCCCAGAAACCTCAAATTCCACCTGAAATCAAAGTAATTACAGAAATCCCCGTCAACTGCTCTTCCACATGGCATCATCCACCTGGGTGCTCAAGTTAGAAATCTCATCTCAGGCTGGTCCTTCTCTCCCCAACCCCCTGCAGTTCTGTAGAGGAAAATCCTTCCGTTTTCCTCATGCTCCTGACTCAATCCATTGAAAAGGAGGCTCCTAGTCCTTCTCAACTTGTGAAGTATTAGAGGATACAGTTCTTACTCATTCTTCCCCTAGAGGAAGGGGAGTAGTTCTTGTGTTGATAAGAGAAGCCATCTGTTGGCCCACTTACCAGTGGGTGGGGTTACTGAGCCACAGAAGCTAAAAACAAGTTCCACCCTGTCTCTTCATGCACCCTGACTCAGTAGCTGGGTGAACAAGGCCAGGGTTCTTCTTTTGGCTTCTTCTTCCCATGTGGTAAGTGCACCTGGGGCAGGGCTCAGGAACCGCCTTCTAGAGGCAGTCTGGAGGTAGCCATTTTATCTCCTACCCTCTGGAACTGTGTTCTGCCAGGGACAGAGTTTGTAGAGCAAGCCTGTGACTTTCCATGCAGCTGGTGGGTAAGTGGACTCGGAATCCACCTACCAAGATGAGTTCTGAGGTCAGATTCAGTGTATGAAACTGGTCATAATTAGGTCCCTTTCTAATTTCTAAGCTATGTCTTGACCATTACTCTTCCTTCTTCCCATCCCTTTACCTTCAACTATGTCATGCTAGAATACATCTTAAAGTCATTTTTTTTTATTATTATTTGTAGTTCTTATTGTAGTTTGGATGAATTAAAGTCAAATTTTAAGGAAGGTACACGAGTGGAATCTTTGTCCTTACATAGAAGAGGACATCTTCCTCTTTTCCTCAGCACACAAATGGTTACATGTGGAATTTTTAAGTCATAATATTTTTCCTTTAAAACATTAAAGACAAGTATTTCCTAGTTCTTCAAGTTGGTAATGGATGTTAGGTAAAAATTGGGCTTTGTGATCAAATATGTTTTGGAAACTCTGGGTTATAAATAAGTTACTTACCTGCAGGACATCTCACAGCCCTATATATATTGTGAAGCTCCAAGAGGGGACAAGAAGTACAGCGTGTCTCAAATTTAATAGGCCATGGGATCCTTTTCAGCAAAGCATTTCAAAGAAAGAGTATTCTATAAACTATTGTCCTAAACTTTTCATTTCATTGTGATACAAAGAATCAAAGCAAAGCCCATTCCAGTAACTCTGGAGGGTCTTAAGGCATCTCTTCCTGATTGGTCATACCAGTTTCCTAGATGCAGTTTTACCAAACCTTGTTAGGAATACAAATTGAAAATTTCCTAAACTTCTTTCTTTCTCTTTCAAAAACCACAACTCTTTTAGAGGAAGATGTTTTCTGATTCCTTAGTGGATCCCTTCTTTTTCAAGGTATTAACCCATTATGTCTCAGAAAATACTGCATTTGCTGTAAATTTTATGTTAAGAGTTCAGAAATTCAACAAGGTGTTTGGGATACAGCACATTTTCTGTACTTGAGTGAGAAGGTCCACAAAAGACACAGGCAGTTGCAGAAGGGAGCTCTGTCTCTTCTAGGTACAAGAGCTTCTCCTCTGAATTCTTAAGCTAGGCTCCCAGCCAGGAACAAGCCCTGGCAGTGCCCTTCCTCTGCCTGCAGTGGGGGTGAAGGCCAGGGTGCAGCTGAGGCAATGCCCTGGTCTTTGCATGTGGCAGCTACCATGCCAACAGCAAAGCCCACATACCAGCCTTCTCTGTAGTCATGGCTGCCCACTGTAAAAGGAATCTCCCTGTGCCAGAGTTCTGCTTGTTGTGGCTGCCTACTCTGGAGGAAAGCTGGAATATTTGCTAAACAATGCTCATTTTATTTGAGATCACTAAATCATAGGACTTAACCCTTGTCTATGACAGTTTGTCTAAGACTAACACCCAAGCAAGAAATAGCTATAATAAGTGAATTCTGAATATGCTTTTTCTTTTTGTTCTAAAGATTCAACCCAGTTTTAATACTTCAAAATGATAAAATTTCATTAAGAAGGTAATAGACACATGTGAAAGGCAACATTTAAAGTTTCACCACCAACAGAACACAGGATGCAAAAGGAAAGATGGACTCATAGAGCCTCCAGGCTCTCCTCAATATATACCTTCAATATAAAATCATTCCACTTTCCTGTTTTATTACTAGCTTATGGCCCCTTGGTTCCTCAAAGGAAATTTCAGCTAACAAACTTGCTGCTTTGTTAATAGACTAGTTTAAGAACTTTCTTGGCAATGGCAGATGTCAAATCCTAGAACTCCAGTTAGGGGCTTGGGAGGAGACCATAGAGAGCTATCTCGTGATCAGTGAATCAGATTCATACTTTCTAAGGAACAACTTTGTTGTTGTTGTTGTTGTTATGTGCCGTCGAGTCGACCCCGACTCATAGCGACCCCTCCTTGGGTTTCCGAGGCAGTATCACTACGAAGTAGGATTGCCCAACCTTCCTTCCGAGGAGTGGCTGGTGGGTTTGAACCGCCAGCCTTCTCGTTAGCAGTCAAGTGCTTTAGCCACTATGCTACCAGAGCTATGTATTAATTTGGTTTCTGCTTCTCCTCCCCTTATTAATTGATCTGCTTTGCTGCTGCTCTCACAAATTGACCCTACATAGGGTATGATATTATTATGGACTGAATTGTGTCTCCCCAAAATATGTTGCAAATCCTAACTCCTATACCTGTAGATATAATTCCATTTGGGGAATAGAATTTTTTTTTGTCCCTTTTTAATTTCTAAGCTATGTCTTGACCATTACTCTCCTTCCTCCCATCCCTTTACCTTCAACTATGTCATGCTAGAACACATCTTAAAGTCATTTTTTTTTATTTGTAGTTTTTATTGTAGTTTCGATGAATTAATCAGACCACCAGTGTAGCCAATCACTTTTGAGATACAAAAAAGAACAGCTTGGACACAGAAGCAAGTAAGCATGAATGGAGGAAAGGCAGATCTACATGGGTATCTCTAAGAAATACCACAAAGAACCCTGGAGATATTGAGACAAAGGTTTTCCCTCCAAGCAGAGATGGAAAGTCTTCCCCTAAGGCCAGTGCCCTGAATTCAGACTTTTAATGTCTTAAACTATGAGAAAATAAATGTATGTTCTTTAAAGCCACTCATTTGTGGCCTTCCTGTTATAGCAGCACTAAGTGACTAAGACAGATTTATTACCTTAAAAGAAATAGTGTCTACTGAACACACAATGTAGACTGTCCCTCTGGGACTTTGCACATCCTGTTTCCTCTGCCTCATACATTCCCTTCTCAACGGCTTTACTCTCTACATAGCACTTATTGCCATCAGAGTTACCTTCTTTTATTTTATTATTTTTTTATCTGTTTGCTGTCTGTTATCTCCCGCAGGACAGTAAATTCTAAGAAGGCAAGGAGTATGTCTATTTTGTTCACCACTGAGTCCTCAGTGCTTAGGACAGTGTCTGGCCCAAGCCCATTGCTATCGAGTTGATTCTGACTTCTAATGACTTTATAGGACAGAGAAGAACTGTCTCATAACATTTCCAAGGCTGCCTGTCTTCAAAGAAGCAGACTGCCACTTCTTTCTTCTGCAAAACAGCTGGTGGGTTTGAACTGCTAACCTTCTGGTTAGCAGTGGAACATCTAACCACTGTACCACCAGGCCTCCTCTGGCCCAAAGAAGGGACTAAAAATTATCTGCTGAATACAGAATTTCAAATGCTTGTGGAATCTAGACTTTCTGAAGCCACTGAGGCCAGATGACCCCCTGAAACTATTATCCTGAGGAAACCTTTAACCTTGAGTAGAAACTATGCCCTGAAGTAATATTTAAACCAAGGAATACTTTAGTCTAATCAGGAAACAATGTCTGCATTATACTCTTTTTAAATAATTATCTACCTGTGATCAAACTGACAACAGCAACTCTCGAAAGGATAGATGAGAAGCTGGAGGTGGGGTAGTGAGTTTGTGTTAATGATGGTGAAATAGTTTGGAAAAGATTGCTGAGAACAGTGGCACAACTTGAATGTAACCAATGTCACTGAATTGTTTGTGCAGAAATTGTCAAAGTGGTGTTATCTTTTGTTGTGTATATTTTCACACACACAAAAAAATAATAGTGAAAAAAAAATCTGTTGAATAAATGAACAAAGTGTCCCCTTACTTATCCTTCAAGGGTAAGTAGATTTTTCTTTAGGAAGCCATCTCTGACACCCCCACCAAATCTCGCTCAGGCTGCCCCTTCTATGAGCTCACACAGCCGCTGAGCTGCCTCAGTAACAGCACTTCACACTGACATGTGACCACTTTTTGCTTAGCTGTTTCTCCCAATGGACTACAAGCAACTCAAGGGCAGGACTATATTGTGTTCACTGGTAAATCTACAATGTCTAAAATGGTATGACATTATTAGAGACTTAACAAATCCTTTTCAATGAACCTTGTACCCTTTTTTCTTCACTCCCCTCCTCTTCTAAAATGTATTCCTTTGCTTAAAAAAGCTATGTGTTTATATATGTATTTAGACTATTTTAGAATATTATATATAATGTATAACATAATATAAAAAAGAGAGCAGCTACAAGAGAAATAAGGAGTTAGAAAAAAGATAAACTGTTAAATAAAGCAAACAAACACTTTAAGTCTTTTGCTGGAAAATTCCAAGCAAAGTAGACAATGCTTTGATGTATTACTCCACCCTCACATGTGTGACTTAGCTGAAGAATTGCCTGAATTTCCCTTTTCCTTTAGCATCCTACGTAAAAGTAATCACACATTCCAGAAAGGAATTCTTAAAATTATTAATCATCTTTACCTTTGCAGATAATGGCCACAAAATTAATATACAAAACTGGAAGTTAGGGTAGCTTGGAGAGGTGGGCAGAAGACGGGGGAGATATAAACATTCCCTGGGGTTATCATCCCTGCCTCCAAAGAGAAGATTATAAACCCTAAGGAGCTTGAGGGCAAGAAAAAGTAATGATTTCCTTTGTGCTCCCCCCATCCAATCCCTCACACAACACAGGGGCTCTCTTACACATGGCCCTAATCACTACTGACTGAACATGTATGGTATAGGGTTGGGAAGGAGCCTAGGAGCAGAAATTTGCGAGTCAGCATGACCTGAGCTGAATCTGGGCTTCTCCAACCTAAGCAGTGGAATTTTGGGCAAGTAACTTTGACATTCAGTTTCCTCACTGGAAAATGAGAGTTAAAAAGCTAAACTACTGAATGTGTGCTGAGGACTAAATGGCATGAATTGCCCAGCACAGTGCCTGGCATGGGTAGGTGCTTAGTAAACATGAGTGCCCTCCCCCACTTCCTGGTTTCTGGGCTTCTGAACCCAACTCTAACCTCATTGCCAGGAACTCAGATCTCTGCTATAAGACTCATTCCGCCTTTCTTCTTCCTCCACCCGTGTGTCTGGGTGATGGGAAGAGTGCAGTGAGGGCACAGGACCTCCTAGTGCACTTCTATGTTCTCTCCCACAAATTCCAGTTCAGTGCTATACCCCCAGAGCCCTTAGCTCAATGCTGGCTACAGAGCAGCCCTCATAACCTAGTAAGTACTGGGTAAATAAAATCGAGATATGAATTCACAATTTCCTTTTATTTATTTCTACTCAACAGCGTAGAGTTCAGCGTGAATATACATTACTATACAAGAATTTTCCTAAATATCAGGTTAATATTTTAGTTGTCATGCATTGAGTTTGAAATTCCACAAATTGAAAAGTATATGAAATTTCTTCTGTAAGTTCTAACAGCAGGAAGAGATCAAGAGAATACAAATAAATATCTATGTCTGTTTTAGTCAGTCTAATCTCTCTAAGCTGATTCAAAGTCAGGTTTAACTCTAAATTGGCTGGTTTCTGAAGAAAATACCAAGAATGATTTGCAATGGGCTGATTGCACGACGTTTATGTTCAGTTATTTCATTAAACTGAATTTTATTGATGCTTTCATAAAGTAAATACCTACAATGATCCTCCCAAATTTTGGCTGCAGAAGTGTTTCCAGTTGCCAGCTCATTTATTTTTATTGTCTCCTAGACATCAGATAAAATGCAGATTTCGAGACCAGAGGGGAATTCCAGAGAAGGTAAGTCCTGAAAAGCTTTTAAACATTTTTAAATTAACACTCCTCTCAGACAGTGAAAAAGGATATTTGTCGTCCTGGCTTGTCACCAGACCTTCGATGAAGGGGGTGGAAGCGGTTCCTGGCTGGTCTCTCCACCAGCCCATGATGACGGGTTCCCCGAACATTATCAGCTTGATGAAATGATGGCTGCAAAGAGAAGGAAAAAAGAGTTGGCCTGGGACCATTCACTATCTTGGAAACTGCCACTCACCCTCACAAACAATAATTAATGACAACAAATGAAAAGACTTATTTTATAATTTTACTATTGTATATTAGCATTTCTTGGATTGGGGTAAAGAAACTAATGTAGAACATGGAGCTATTTCTATATAATTACAGAATTTAGGATGTTAAAAATAAAGCTGTAAGAATGATACTATAAAAGTTGTCAAAATTAGGAGGTGGGGAATCAGGGGACTATGGATTCATATACCATAGCCCAGAAACTAGGATGTACATTTGAATTGTAAAAGACAAATATAAACTGACAAGACATGGGACACCTACAGACTACAGAGTATTTGTTCTGCACATTGTCTTTTTAAATCTTTGGTTTAATAGATAATGTTTAAAAATTCAGATTTGGAGCTTCTAGTAAAAAAAATCAGAACACCTTGGTCACACTGGTCCCACACATTTCCATGTGGCAACAATGGACTGAAGCTGGGAGTGGCTGGCCCTTATAGATGGGAGGCCCACTCTCAAGTTTTTAATCCTTACACCTGGACCACTTCACTGACTCATTATATGAGACATTTGCATTTGCAACTTTTGACTTAAAAAGGAGAAAAATAAATAATACTTAAATACAAATGGAAAATATGAAACTCATAACCCTCAAAACAGCACAAATGAAAGTATAAACAGATTGAAGATAAATTTATGGTCAATAAATCCACAATTCTTTGTTAAGGAATGCTTGGGGTATATTCTTAACATTTTTAGATTAAAAGGCAATGTTTTTGGTTGTCAAAGACCAAATCTTAGGCTGAGCCATTAAATGTAACGTAATGGGGCAATGTGGATGCAACATATGCAATAGATGCATTTGTGAAATATATGAAAATGGATTTTTTTAAGATAAACTGAATAATATATAAGATAGCTAGTTTACTATGAAAGGAATCCTATGATGGAATGTTTTCAAAGGATAGATTCCTTTAGCTAAGAATGGAACCCTAATTTTTCTGTGTCAAATATATACATTTTCATTTGGTAAAATCCAACACCCATTCCCGATCAAAACTTTCAGAAAATAGGAATAGAAGAAAAATTCTTCAACATAATAAAAGATACATACGCAAAACCAACAGGCAACATTATTCTCAATAGAGAGAGACTGAAAATACTCCCCTTGTGAACAGGAACCAGACAAGGAAGCCCTCTATCATCACTTCCATTCAATATTGTATTAGAAGTCCTAGTTAGGGCAATGAGGCAAAGAAGGAAAATAAAAGGCATACAAATCAGTAAAGAAGTAAAACTATTCCTATTTGCAGATGATATTATCCTATACATAGAAAACAAAGACACTCAGCTAGAAAACTACTGGAACTGAATGAAAGATTTAGCATAGTGGCAGAATACAAGATCAACATACAAAAATCAGCTGGGTTCCTCTACACCAGCAAAGAGCTCTGAAAAGGAAATAAGGAAATCAGTATAATTTACAATAGCTACCAAAAGATAAAATACTTGGGAATAAATCTGACCGAGGATACAAAAGACCTATAAAAGAAAACTACAAAACAGTATTACAAATAACTATAAGAGATCTACATACATGAAAAAACATACCATGGATAGGAAGACTGAGCATTGTAAAAATGTTAGTACTACCCAAAGCAATCTATATATTCAATGCAATTCTGATGGAGATTCTATCAGCATTCACTAAAGACATGGAAAAGCCAATCACTAATCTTACATGGAAAGGAAAGAGACCTTGAATAAGCAAAGCACTATTGAAGAAGAAGAACAAAGTAGCAGGTCTTACACTCTCCAATCTCAATACTAGACAGCCAGAGTAGTCAAAACAGCCTGGTATTGGTACAACAACAGACACACAGACCAGTGGAACAGAACTGAGAATCTAGAAATAGATCCATCTACCTGTGGTCAGCTGATCTTTGACAAAGGGCCAAGATTCATTAAATAGGGAAGAGACAGTCTCTAACAAATGGTGCTGGCAAAACTGGATATTCATTTGCAGAAAAATGAAACAAGATTTATACCTCACACCATATGCCAGAACTAACTCCAGATGGATCAAAGACTTAAATGTGAAACCTAATACTATAAAGTTCATCAAAACAAAAACGGGTAAACTTAGGGATCCTGATATATGGCATTAATAGGCTATCAAATATAAGTAAAAATGCACAAACAGCAGAAGATAAACTAGATGACTGGGACCTTCGAAAACTTAAATCTTATGCATATTAAAAGAGTTCTCCAAAAGAGTAAAATGAGAACCTACAGATTGGGAAAAAATATTCAGCAATGACATATATGACAAGGGACTTATCACTAAAATTTATAGAAAACTCTAACACCTCAACATCAAAAAGACAAACAGCCCAATTTTAAATTGGGCAGAAGACATAAAAAGACACTTCACCAAAGAATATATTCAACAAAACTGGAGATCCTGGATAGGGTGGGAGGAAAAACATGGAACAAAATTCAAAAACACAGTAACAACTAGAATTACTGGTCGGATGGAGTCTGGTGGGACCTCCAAGACTATGGCCCTGGGACACACTTTAGGCCTGGCATAAAACTCACGCCCAAGGGCTGGGTCTAAGCCCAATAGTTGTAAGACTTACATGCAGAACACCCAACCCAGGGTGATGCACCCACCTACTCTACGGAGATATACCCCTTGGAGCAATTGGTCACAGGGCACCAGAGGAAAAGCTGGACAGACAGGAGTGCATAACTAAGAAAGGCACAGGGATGGGGGTGGTCACTGGGAAGGGAGAGGAGGAGAGTGGGTTAGGGTTGGGGATAGTAATTGGGGAATGAAACCAAATGTACACAAACAGTTGAATGTAAAACAAATTCTGCTCTGTAAATTTGCACCCAAAGCACAATAATAAATAAAAGTGATTAATGGCAAAAAATAAAAAGACAGTCAAGAGGCCAACAAACATATGAAGAAATGATTACAATTAGCCATTCTCACTGCCATCGGGTTGGATCCGACTCATAACAACTCCTTCTTGGATTTCCGAGGAGGTATCACTATGGAAGTAGATTGCCCAACTTCCTTCTGAGGAGTGGCTGGTGGGTTTGAACCGCCAGACTTCTAGTTAGCAGTCAAATGCCTTCGGCACTACACCACCAGAGATATCATCTCACTCCAGCACTACTAGCAAAGTTTAACAAGACAGAAAATAACAAATGCTAGAGAGGATGTGGGAAGATTGTGACTCTCATACATTGCTGGTGGGACTGTAAAATGATACAACCACTATGGAAATTGGTATGGCAATTCCTAAAATAGTTGCAGTAGAAATACCATTTGATCCAGAAATCCCATTACTAGATATATATCCTAAAGAAGGGAGAGCCAGAATACAAATAGATATGTGCACACCAATATTTATCACAGCACTATTCACAATAGCAAAGAGATGGAAACACCTAAATGCCCAACTTCAAATGAACAGATAACCAAACTATGGTACATACACACAACAAAATACTGTGCAACACTAAAGAATAATGTAGAATCTGTGAAACAACTCATAATGTAGATGAACTTGGAGGAGACCATGCTGAGTGAAGTAAGTCAATCACGGAAGGTCAAATATTGTATAAGTCCATTATTGTAAAAAGTCAAGGAAAGGTTTACATATGGAAGATAACTTTCTTTGTTGGTTACCAGGGATGGAATAAAGGGGAAGAACAACTGCTAGATAAGTAAGAGAAAAATACTCATTTGGGTGAAGGAAAAGGCAATATACTACAAGTGAGTGATCACCACGATAACACTAAGGAAAAGCAAGACACAGAGAGGTGCACATCAGGTATGTTTAAGCCAAAGGGAATATACTCATGACCATATACAAGCTTGGCAGACCATATTTCTACATATATATTTGTATGTGCCGTAACAATGTCCATACATATAATTGCACTAACAGGGCAAAGTTATGATAACTTCTTGGCCACAGCCAAACACCAGGAGGGAGTGAATCACTGGGCCTGCGAGCTCAGGACCATGGTTGCAGGGGACATCATGCTCAATTGGCTTAACATACTACACTAAAAACATTGTCCTACTATATCCTATATCCTACTTAGGTAAGTAGCGACTGGTGTCTTAAAAGCTTGTGAGTGGCCATCCTAGATGCAACAATTGGTATCTCCTCATCTGGAACAAAGAAGAATGAAGAAAATCAAAGATTCATGGAAACAATTAGTCCAAGGGGCTAGTAACCACGTGAACCTCAACGCATATGAGCCTGAGACCAGAAGAACTAGATGGTGCCTGACTATCACTGTCAAGCACTCAGAAAGGGGTCAAAATAGGATATCCTGGATAGTGTGAGAGAAAAACATGGAACAAAACTCACAATCATAAAAAAAAAAAGACCAGGCCTTATTTCTACATTCATATTTATATGTGCTATAAGAATGTCCACATATAAAAGAGCTAAAAAGGGTCAAAGTTATGATAACTTCTTAGTCACAGCCAACCACCCTGAGGGAATGAGCAGTTGGACCTGGGGACTCGGGAACTTGGTTGCAGGGGACATCAAGCTCAATTGACATAACATACTATACAAAAACATTGTTCTACATCCCAGTTTGGTGATTAGTGACAGGGAGCTTAAAAACTTGCAAGCAGCCATTTAGATGTAACAATGGGTCTTCTCCTTGTCCACAGCAAAGACGAATGAAGAAAACCAAAGATGCATGGAAACAATCCGTCCAAGGGACTAGTAGACCACGTGATCCTCAGCCTCTATGACCAGGAGACCAGAAGAACGGGATGGTACCCGGCTACCACTGTCAACTATTCCAAAGGGTATTGGTACAGGAGATCCTGGATAGAATGTGACAGCAATGTGGAACAAAACTCAACTTCATTAAAAAAAGACCAGGTTTGCTGGTCTGATAGAGCCTGGTGAGTG